GTCGGTTCCGACCCATAGCGACCCTGTACAGGGTTTCCGAGGGTGTAAATCCTTACGGGAGTAGAAAGCCTCATCTTTCTCCCGCGGAGTGGCTGTAGTTTCGAACCACTGACCTTAGGTTCGCAGCCTGATTCGTAACCACTACGCTACCAGAGCTCCTTAGGAATAAAGTGACTAGAGGTAAATGCTGTTAGCTGATGGTACATGGAAGGGATTGCAATCACTGTACTGAAGCAAACTATATGACTCATTGAAAGTAAAACTGATGATCTCTTCTCTAAACCTTCACTCAATTCACAATAAAAAGTAAAACAAATGTCCAAACCTCCAATTTTGTTCCCAGCATCTTGGCCAGTCCTGCCACTTGGTCACCCAGCTCCTCCAGTTCCATGGAGCACCTCTGGAAAACAACAATGACAAACTTTTCTGAAAACATATTTTAAAGCTGTGCAAACTGGTCATAAGTGTTCGGAAACTGAAATGGAGAATGCGAAGAGTGGCCCAACTCAAGTCCAGACTCCACCTCACCTGGATGCTTTATTTTTGTGTTGCTTTGCCCACCTCTCCACCTTACCCACATGTCCTCTGTGGCCAGGGCAATATCCTAGAGTGGCCACACCAGGGCTCTGTTTGGTTTGCTATCACCAAGTTCTTCCTCAGAGACCTTGTAAGGCTCCCAGTGAGCCTGGCAGAAGAGAGGTTACTGGCTGCCTTTCCACTCCGCAGCCTTTTGATCTGTCCTAACTCTTGGACCTTTTGGATACAGGGGCATTGGCAGAGTCCCCTCTTTATGAAGACTCTTCCCAAGGCCTTAGGGATGTTCAAATTTAAGTTTACACAAATAATTTTGGAATTTTTTAAAAGGGAAATTCTTAAATTGTTTAAACTTGGATGTGCACTCAATCAATTATGGGGAGACTAATACTTCCATCTCTGCCTGAAGTTCTTTTCCTTCTGGACTGCAGTCTTTCTTGCACCCACCTTTATCCCACTTCCATCTCCTCCAAGCACTCAGGGCTTCCCCTACTGGAACAGAGGTACCACTCACCTGTGCCCCCCTGTGCTGAGGTGGGTATCCTCACACCCTGCTCTGAATTCATGTGACAAAGCCATCTCTTGACCAGACCCAAGGCTTCCAGGGTGGGCTTTACTTTTCTGGGCACCATCTTACATGAGTCTAGGTCTTGAATTACTTAATTCTCTTCACACACAGATTATATGTTGTTGTTGTTAGGTGCCATTGAGTCGGTACTGACTCACAGTGACCCTATGCACAGCAGAATGAAACACTAGAATATATAATCTATGCAAAAAGTAAAAAGTTCCCTTAATGCTCATTCCCAACCCTAGAGTCCTTATGTGTCTCAGTGCTAACCTTGCTCCTGTTGTCAGGTAGGTAAGTGCTTAGACACACACACACACACTATCATCTCTCTAGGACACATATGCCTGTGTGTGCACACATACTTTAATAAAACTGTCTGCTGCTTTTACTTAACAAAATATCCCGAGTCTTTCCATACAGTACTTCATTCCCTCTGACTTAAGCACAAACTCCTATGGTGTGAGTATTACATCGTCTTTCTAGTCTCCCACTGAGGGCTCTTTGGGGGCTATTTCTAGTTTTCACTGGAATTACACTGAGCAAGTCTGCAGTAAACATCCCCCAAATGCCTTCTTGAGGTGTTTCTTGAAAGTAGAGATAGAATGATGTAATTTCTGGGTTCTGTGGCATGCATTTAAAATTTTAATAAATGCCACCAAATTGCCTTCTTACAGTCACACAATCCACACATACACCTACCTTCTGGGTGTGTATTCTTAACACCTTGGCTAACACTTGGTGGAATTAAACATCCCCTTTGTGTGTTTTTTTCAGTTCCACATTGATTTTATTTATTTATTATAGTTTGAGTGAAAGTTTACAGAGGGAATTAGTTTCCCACTCAATAAATTATTCACATTTTTTAAAGGTTTTTATTGTGGATTAAGTGAACGTTTACACGGCATATCATCAGTTTTACATTCAACAAATTATACACCTTGTTTCATTACATTGATTATAATCCCCTCCATGCACCATCAGTTGACAGTATTTCTCTCTATCCACTTTAGCTTTTTAAAAAACAAACAAAAAA